AACATCCCGCGTTTCCGATACCCGGTTTCCGTATTTTCCCTCTCGTCTCCTTTGCATGAATATGTGTTGTATGTGCGAATTTAATTAATTGCTTTACAATTTGCTATTTATGTGAATTTATGTGAACTAATGTGCATTATATGTCTACATGAATATTTTTGATTTTATCCTCTATTTGCGCAACTAAAATGTATTTCATATGTTTAATATAATTGAACACGTGAAATTATGTGATCTACGTGAATTTAGAATTTATTTTCTCACACTAGAAAGTTTATATGCTTAATTGATAGTAATTTCCTCTTTTTAAATTGGCTATAATTGTATGTGTATGCGCATACACTTATTCCATGTGCATTTCCACTTGGCTTTTCATTTAGCATTATTATTATTTTTTTTTGAAGAAGAGAAATTTTATTAGGCTTAGGGAGCCAAGATTGGAGGAAGGGTAATCCCTTCAGTACAAGGCATATCTTGCAATTTTGCTATTGCGTTTGCTAAGCTATTACCAACGCGTTTTATGAAATCAAAAGAAACATAATGAAGTGAGCAAGAAACATGGGAGCAGTCTTCAATTATGGCACCAAATGGAGCTGAGTTGGGTCTTCCGTGATTGAGGGCGTCAATGACTCGAGCACAGTCACCTTCAATTATGATGGACGTCCACCCCATTTCTTTTGCTTTTTTCAAAGCCTGCAGGACAGCCTTCGCTTCGCCGTCAATCGGTTGGGGTCGGCCCATATGCTTCTCCACCATCCACCAAACGCATTTACTTTGCCAGTCATGAGCTATCATGGAAGTTGTGAAGAAATCTGTGCCAACGGGGAAACCCGCATCCACATTTAGCTTTAGAACTCCTTGAGGTGGTGGGAGCCATATTGAGGGGTGGTCTGTACTCAGTCCCATCCGTCGTGGCAGTTGAGCTTGTTTGAAGAGGTCGATGTATGACGAGCTCGAGCTAAGAATATCGTCGATGGATGGCGTAGCTTCGAACCAACTTGTTCCTTTTATCCCAGGTTTTCCATAAAATGACCGACGCTAACTGGATTTGTTCGGTTTTGAGTGTATTAATGCAGCATTCCAGCCATGCCTCGAATGTCGTGTGACTGGCCGCACCAGTTCCCTCAAAAGGTGGATGAGCCCAGACTTCCTTCATTCCTCGGCATTCCGTGAGAATATGCATGATCGTTTCAATGTCTCCGCAAGAGCAGCAAAATGGGGACGATGCAATCTTTCGCCGAAAAAGTTCGGTGGCAGTCGGGAGAATGTTCTTACACGCTCGCCATAGAAAGATCCGTATTTTAGGTGGGATATTGAGCTTCCAGATTTGATGCAAGGTGGGTCTACTTCCGCTCGAAGAGTGCCCAGCATGGTGCGAGGTGTTATCGACCTCGGTCCGGGACAAAATGAGACGGTAACACGAGCTAACCGTAAATCTGCCCTCGGAGTAAAGTGCCAGATCTTCCTATCACTAGTGGTTGCACAGCCAATGGGGGTTGAGTAGAATTCGTGTTCAGTCAATCGGCCAAAAAACTTGGTTAATTAGAGAAATGTTCCATGAATAAGACTCCGAATCAATGATGTCAGCCACCGTGTCTGGGAATGAGCTGTGAATCGGCCGCTTGGTGATAGTCCGGAAACTGCCATCGTCCGCAATCCATTGGTCCCCCCAAATCGATGTAGTGAGACCATTGCCAATCCTAACTCTAAGGCCTGTTTGTAAGTAGCTCCTCGCCGCCAGAATACTTCTCCATGTAGTCGAGGGTCGAGAGCCGATATTAGCCGAAGAGAAGTCACAATCTAGGAAGTATTTCGCCTTAAGGATTTTTGACAAGAGTAGATCCGGCTGTGAAATGAGACGCCACCCTTGTTTTGCCAACAGAGCTAAGTTAAAGCTTTTCATATACCGAAAACCAAATCCGCCCTCAACTTTAGGCAAACACATTGTTTTCCACGGAAGCCAAGCCAATCCCTTATTTTTTCCATTTCCCCACCAATATCTTCTGATAGCCGATTCAATCTCCTTAAGCAGATAACTTGGTAGCAGAAAACAACTCATAACATAGGTCGGTATAGATTGCAAAATCGATTTAATAAGAATTTCCTTACCAGCTTGAGATAATTGCTTTTCACCCCATCCTCTAATCTTATCCGAAATGCGGTCGCGAAGATAAGCAAAAATATCTTTCTTAGTTCTCCCCATTGAACATGGCATGCCAAGGTATTTATCGTGTTTCTCCACCACTTTGAACCCCAAGATTTCGTTGATAGCGGCCTTAGTAACCGGCGGAGTAGAGGAGCTGAAAACCATGGTTGATTTATCAAGATTGATCTCTTGCCCGGAAGTCGTTGCGTATCTACTGAGGATATCTTTTAGGGTCCTAGCGTCTTGCTCCGAAGCATCGCAGAAGAACAATGTATCATCTGCAAAACACAGATTGGAGATAGCAGGTGCCATAGGTGCAATTTGGATTCCGTGTAGGCGTCCATCCCTAACGGCTGTGGCGATCATAGCAATGAGTGCCTCTGTACAACAGATAAAAAGGTAAGGGGAGAGAGGATCCCCTTGCCGAAGTCCTCTCGACGGACTAATCGACCCAAACTGAGTACCATTAAAAAGAAAAGCGTAAGAGACCGTAGAAACACAAATCATGATAAGATCAATAAAAGACACAGGAAGACCAAAACGGAGGAGAATTTTCTGAATAAATAACCATTCGATCCGATCGTAGGCTTTACTAATATCTAATTTGATAGCCATATAATTTCTTCGATTGTTCGAGTTAATCTTAATAAAGTGGTTTATCTCGAAGGCAACAAGGACATTATCAGTAATAAGGCGATTATGAACAAAAGCGGATTGGGTGGGAGAGATCAAGTCATTAAGGACCAACTTAAGCCTATTAACAATCACCTTAGACCCAAATTTATAGATAACATTACACAAGCTAATAGGCATATAATCAGTGATTTTCTCGGGTTGGTTCACCTTTGGGATCAAAACAATATAGGTGAAATTAACCCGAGATGGGAGAGTTTTATTATTAAGAAAATTAAGGATGCAAGAGGTAATATCAGACCCGAGAATATGCCAGTATTTTGTATAGAAAATGACAGGTTAACCATCTGAGCCGGGGGATTTTAGAGGGGCCATTTGAGAGATTGCCCGAGTTACCTCGTCAGCAGAGAAGTGGAGAGAAAGCATAAGGCTTGCGGCGCTCGAGAGTCTCGGCTCAATACAACTCATCACCTCATCTATCGATGCCTCGGAAGGGTTTGTTGATCGAAAAATACTATCAAAGTAGTCTGATACAATATGCTCAATATCCGTTGGTTTATCCTTCCATACACCTGTACTGTCCTGGATACGATCCACTCTTTAGCCCGTTATCTCTGAGTTGCCTTCGCGTGAAAAAAACCAGTATTATGATCTCCTTCTCGCATCCATTGTATTCTACTTCGTTGCCTCCAGTATATGTCATTGTTCGTGTATAATTGTTCTAATTATGCCTTCAATTTGATAGTCTCCTCCCTGCTGGTTGCGGTCTGGGGTCCAGCATATAGCAAATGAAGACGTTTCTGGATATCCTTGATTCTGTGATGCGAGAGCTTAATAGTATTTGTGTTCCATTCCATAAGTGCAAGTCGGCAACCATCATTTTTCATTAGGACTGCCTCCATTGGATCTGACCCGCCATTCGCCATCCATTGTTGATTGATAATTTCCTCACAGTCATCCCGCCGGATCCACATAGCTTCAAATCGAAATGGTTTTTGTTTCCGTCGACGGTGGGCCGTTGGTGAGTGGTCGAGGGTAAGAATGATTGGAATGTGGTCTGACCCGGGGTAGGTTAAGTGCTTTACTTGGGCGCAGGGGAATCGATCCAGCCATGCGGTATTTGCTCATACTCGATCAAGTCGGCTCTGAACCGTATATGGGTGTTGACGGTTATTAGACCAAGTAAATGGCGATCCAACATACCCCAAATCCGATAAGTTGCATGTCTCCAACGCAGTCCGAAAGGCTTCAATCCTATCGGGGGTTTCGGGTTTCCTCCAACTTATTCCGAGTTGCTGAGGACCTCATTAAAGTCCCCACCAATGACCCATGGCAAGTCGTTCAGGTCATTTAGCCCACAAATTAAGTTCCAAGATTTATGACGTTGGTCTTGTTCAGGAAAACCGTAAAAACCCGTAAACCTCCATCGATCTCCCCCATCTTTAGGAATGATTTCGACATCTATATGATTCCTTGAAAGGCTGTGGAGGATAGTCGTAATATCTTTTCGCCATAATAGTGCAAGCCCACCCGATTTGCCAATCTTATCCACTGCAAGTCCAAACATGTTCCATTGCATTTTAAGTCGCTCTATCGTATGAGATGTTGATCTCGTTTCCGAGAGGAACACCAAGTCGGGGTTATGTGTTCGGAGAATATCTCCGAAAGTGTGAATTGTCAAGGGAACCCCGAGCCCTTGAAAATTCCAATAGAGACAACTCATTGGTCTCGGCGGGACTGCATCGCAGTCTCCGCCGTTGAATCGGTGTCGTCATCCAAGGGGGTCAGATTCTGTCTCTTGTCGGTTCGGTGGTGTTCTTCTTCCAGAGTAGCAACTCGTTTAGTTCGTCGTTTCTGGTCTGGGATTACTATTCTTCGTCGAGGCGTAGTTTCCAACCCCCCATCGGAGAGTATATGTACTGCATTAGTCACCAGGTTCATCTCATCAAGATCCACTATCGATTGATTCTCGTCCCCCCCATTGAGGTTTAGGGAAGACGTGCTCGTTCCTACTTGCTTGCAGAAAGCAAAGACATTCGGTCCCTTTGGTGTGCTTCTGGCCAAATTTTTGTTAGAGGTCTGGGAGTTATTTGATATGACTCGTAAGGGAATTTTCGGGCAGTCCTCCTCCCAGGAGTTTGATGCATGCAACCAAATCCCGTAAGGAAGATGGTCGCCAGGATCAATGAAGCCATGCTCGTATCTCATCGGGCAGCGATTTTCACTGCGCTAGCTGTCCACAAATGAAGCATAGGTTTGGAAGTCGTTCGTAGGTAAAAGCCACCCACGTTTTATTGCCATCTGTAGAGTGAAGATAAAGGCCCCGTTTAATACTTCGCGACACATCTATCGCAACTTTGATTCTGATGAGCTGGGAGAAGTGAGATTGATTTTTATTGAGAACCTCAAGAAGTATGCCAAGCTTGCCACCGATTTGAGCAATGACCTCCTCTGACCTTTGATTCATCGGGAGATGGTGAATCCGAATAATTATAGGCATAAGATTAATTTCCATCGTTGTGGGGTCAGAGTCTGGTTTAATCTCCGAAAATATGAGGGCGTGCTTGTCAAGAACCCAAGGGCATCCACCAAGAGCCTGTTTTTGGTCCAACCGATGATTAAAGCTAATAACGAATCTATTGTTCCCAAGAGTCTGGATCTCGCATCCTTTAACCGGCTGAAGAAGACGTGTAACATTAGATTTGATGGTGTGCATAGATATTTCCTTAGTGGCCACAATTCTCCCGAGAAGGCTAAATTCACCAGTAGGGTTTTGGTTGACAGTTTGCAGTTGCGTGATCGTGATACCTTCCTCTTCATCGGACGTTAATCGAAAGTTGTTGACCAGCGCATCCGTAAGGTTCTCCATCGTGGCGAGGAGGCGTGAGACAGATGAGATGAGAGTTGTAAGATAGAGGTCTACAACGCCGCCTATAAGAAAAGACCCAAAGAGGAAAAACGAGAGGGAAAGGAAAGTTAGGGTAGATTATTAGAGAAAATACTATGAGATAAACCACACAATAAGAAACCCTAGAACCGCCTCAATTATATTTTTAACAAAACTGATAAAGTAAATTAACGATCAAACAGTCCGGCTTCAGAAAAATCCTAGTTTGCTTGGTGTCGGGGAAGAGCGTGGGTTGCTGTCACTAGAGGATCAAGATTCAAGAACAAGGCCTCTCATGGAGAGAGAAAAAGCCTCTCATGGAGAGAGAGAAAAAAATTAGCATTATTTTTAAGATAACTTAAATGAAATTGCCTAGAAGTCCCTCTAGATTATTTCAAGTTACTCCTAATTGCAAAAAGACCTATCTTCATACTTACTCATTAAGAATACAAGCCTCTCCAATTCTATAAATACCACCCTCTCCTCTTCATTTCCACACACCAAAAATCAGCTAAGTCCCCTTCTCCTTCCCCCTCTCCATCGATCAAAATAGCCCAAGTAGAAGAAGAAATCTCTTATTCTAATTCAAGCCTTCCCCATTAAATCTCTTCCTCTATTCTTCCTTAATTTCAAAATTTGTAGTGAGGTAAGGTTCAAGAACTCTTTTCATTTTAATAAAAGAGGTTCTTCATAAAGAAGTGATTCTCTAGTGGGTTGCAAATATCCACAAAGTTCTTCAAATTTTGAAAAGATCCTAAGGTAAGAATCATGGAATTCTTGCTACATCAAGCTAACATCAATAGTATTCCCTTCTCTTCTCTTTTGAAAAACTCCCCTTCTTAATTGTTTGAAGAAATCGATTTTTTTATGAAATAAAGTGCTCATAGTATGTAATATTATATGTTTAGTCTCGTGCATGTTAAGATCCATGCTTGAATCCTTGATCTTTGATGAGAAAAATGATGATGATGTTTTGATATGTTTAATTTCATGTTTAAACCTTTGCATGTGAGAATCTAACTCTTGATTCTTGATTCTTGAAAGAAAATAGAAGATTGGTGAGAAACCCGAAATTTGATGATGATATGCTATGAAATTTATTATCCTTATGGTTCTAATCATTTCATGTTAATATTATTGATTTACTAGTTGTGATCTTATATGTTTAAGGTTTGGATTTGAGGCATCTAAGTTGATTGAGTCTAGAATCTTGAAATAGATGGTTATATGTAAAATTTACAGATTCATAGATGCGGATTTTAACCCATGTTTCACCCACGAGTTTATTTATGAAAACTACGAAATTTTATATGAGGATAGATCTCTCTGTTATGATCATATTGATATGTGGCTTGTAATTTTTTTAGTAGAAATAAATGAGTTATGAATTATTTACCGAAACTGTACAAAACTAGAGTTAATTTAGAATTAATAATGAAATCTAACGTTTTCCTCTTTCAAATTTAGTGAATCAACTTGGAACAGAACCCCAACTTAGAAAACTTATTTGAGATAATATTTAGCAAAGAAACACAGTAGATAATTTATAAGAATTTTTTTTTTAAGTCCCCTCCCTTGTTCTGAGTTTTAAACTGCACTACTGTACCATTTTACTTATTTATCCTAATTTCCTAAATATTTTCTAAAACTATTTTTCAGGGGTATATAAGACTCCTAATAGTATATGGAGTTAAAATTTCAAAAGTTTTGGATGAATCTGTAAGGCAAAATGAATTTTTAAAGTCACTCCCTCTGTTCAGATTTCAAAACTGTACCACCTTAGAAATATTTATATCTCTTACGCCGATGATGATTTTTATAAACTGTTTCTCACTGGTTTTAAAGACATATAAATGAGTATGTTGTAAAAGTTTCAAAGGCTTTTGATTTGTGGTTCAAGAGAAATGATTTTTCAAAGTTAGGATACCAAAACTGTTTGATTTTCTTAAGATGACTATTTTTATCAAAGTATGATTTGCGATCATGGTTCTAATATCCGAGGTAGGAAAGATAAGTTAGTGATGATGGTGAAACCTCTAAGTTATGTCCTAATGATCTAGGTGTAGGTATCAAGTTGCATGTCCTAAGTAGGAATTTCAATCTACTAGCCTAGAATGGTGTTAAGAAGCAAGTAAAATATTTAGAAATATGATTAATTGATTTCTATGATGAGTTAGAATACTTGATTGTTTTCGTATATTATTTGTTATGATTCATGGCACTTTTGAAATAAAGGTGTATGTATTAAGTGATTAGAGTAAAGTAATGTTGTATGTGATAATTTTCATAATTCATGATATGAGTGATATTGATATGTTATGAATGACATGGTTATATGATTATGTGATTATAATATGGTTAAAGTTGAAGAATGCCCTTCTTGATGCTACTATGTGATATTAAATATTTATGTGTATTTATGGAATGAAATGTGAAACAAAAGTGTTATGTTCTATATGACTATGTGTTCAATGATTTGATTAAAGATGTGAAGTATAATTGTTGTGGTACTTACTTTTATGCTTGTTTATGTGAAAGTAAACATAGATAGATCATGTAAGCTTCATGTGATTCATTATTAAGTCTAAGATGCATAAATCACGATTTTTCAAAGTTAAAAATGTTTGGAAATTGGTTGTGGATCTAGGTGAATAAGTATGGGATACGGGGGGCTGGTATTTCGTTAGTGGTTGATAGTTGGGGTCCACATATATATATATATATATATATATATATATATATATATATATATATATATATATATATATATATATATATATATATATATATAGATATATATATAAAATATA